TTTTTTTCACATCCATATATTATTGTAACATGTGCCTTTTAAAATTTTTTGAGAGGCTTTACTGCTGCTCATTTTAAACTCATCGTTTTAATTTTATATATCTGAAAAATAATCACATTGGGCTTACACGTTTTACTTATTTGGGTTAATTAAAAATAAAATTACCATCAAATGCTGCAATCCTCATCAAAATTATTAAATAAGTTAGCTTTCCCTTGATTTGTAAAATTATGTACAGTTTTACACAAATGTGTGGAACAGAAGAGGGATACATTTGCGAATTTGGCGGAAGTACCATGTGCGGTCACATCATCAAGACAGCTTATTAAGAATTTGAAAATAGGGTAATCGACGGAGGTGAAAACATTTGTATATCTTGCCAAAGGAGGTCCGATCATGAATGGACCTTTTATTGATTCCAGATGACGCAAGTCTTTTTTTTCCCCTCTGAAATTCGAGTTTTATGCTGGCTTTTTAACGAACGCAGGTCTCATTCATAAAGAAGGAATGGCTAACTGGAGCATCTTACAATATTTGCTCTCCGTATCCTAATTAAAAAGTGGCGAATTATTTATAAATGTATTTGAAATGAAGAATTTATTCATTTATAAACAATTGAAAGTTACTGTGAAGAAATCTATTAAATTAGATTACATTTAATAATCATAAATTATTAAATGTATATAATTTATGATTATAAATGCTATCTAAATATATAATAACCTTAATATTGAATTGTAAACATAAATTGAAATCCTGTTGACAAATCCGTTATAAAACTATTCAGAATTCTATAAGCAATAATATAATATTATAATTCTATAAGCCAGAATTGTTCGTACTGGAAAGCAATCTGTTAAAAGGCATTGTAAAGCAAATGCTATGAGAGGCGCACTTAAAGTAATAGAGTATTGGAATATGCATTGCTGAAATTTAAGGTAAAAAAAAATCTGATAAGTATAATTAAAAGAATTATTCCCCTTACATTTTATAATAACCCAGTTACAAGTTTTAAATAATACTTAAAAAAAAATAAATAAAAATAATTTTATTCCCTTTTAGAAATGTTCAGAGAAAGTACTATTTAAAGTATTTCGCTAATTTCTAATAATTCTCTAATTTAAAATGAACCGAATAGAGCATTAATTATAAATTGACTTACATTTTTCGATTTAAAAGATGCCTCAGAAGCCAAAAAATCATGTCATATTTAAGAAAGTATTTTAGGAAGAAGCTCTATAAATAGAAAAGAAATAATGCATAATTTTAATATTAATAATACAATAAACTTTGATCTTAATTTTTGTACCTTAACCGAATAAAATCGAATTACCTTAATTTTTTTTTCTAATGTAATTAACGAAAACTTGTGAAAATATTTCATTCAAATTAAACCATTTTCTGAGAAAACTGTTCTATGAAAAGTATAGCATTTAATTCCGTTCAGAATGAAATGTTGTTTAAAAATATGTTGTTTTTATATACTTAGAACACTGAAGTGTTGTAGAAAAAAAAAATATACATTTATATGTATATTTACGACGTAATTACAAAATATTTACATCCGAATGGTAAAAGACCCAATGTTTTGATCACCACGTAGGGATCATGGAGGTAAGGAGTCGCCCTAAACAAGTTTCTCCGTACCCTGCTCTGAAGCACTGGCGATCCCTACGTGGTGACCAAAACATTGGGTCATTTACCATTGAGTTCTATGGGATTTTGACGCGTTGGGATGTAAATATTTTGTAATTACGTCGCAAATATACATATAAATGTATATATTTTCTTTTTCTACAACACTTCAGAGTCCTAAGTATGTGAAAACAACATATTTTTAAACAACATTTCATTCTGAACGGAATTAAATGCTATACTTTTCACAGGACAGTTTCTCAGAATGGTTTAATTTGAATGAAATATTTTCACAAGTTTTCGTTAATTACATTAGAAAAAAAATTAAGGTAATTCAATTTTATTCGGTTAAGGTACAAAAATTAAGATCAAAGTTATTGTATTATTAATATTAAAATTATGCATTATTTTTTTCTATTTATAGAGCTTCTTCCTAAAATACTTTCTTAAATATGACATGATTTTTTGGCTTCTTTTTAAATCGAAAAATGTAAGTCAATTTATAATTAATGCTCTATTCAGTTCATTTTAAATTAGAGAATTATTAGGAATTAGCGAAAATAGTATTTGACTTTCTCTGAACATTTCTGAAAGGGAATAAAATAATTTATATTTTTTTTAAGTATATATTCAAAACTTGTAACTGAGTTATTATAAAATGTAAAGGGAATAATTCTTTTAATTATACTTATCAGATTTTTTTTTTACCCTTCATTTCAACAATACATATTCCAAAACTCTTTATTACGTTCTTAAGTGCGCATCTCATAGCATTTGCTTTACAATACCTTTTAACAGATTGCTTTCCAATACGAACAATTCTTGCTTAAATAGTTTATAACGTATTTGTCAACAGGATTTCAATTTATGTTTACAATTCAATATTAAAGTTATATATTTAGAAACATTATAATCATTATAAATTAGATACATTTAATCATTAGATTTCTTCACAGTACTTCACAGTTGTTATAAGTGAATAAATTCTTCATTTCAAATACATTTATAAATAATTTAATGAATATTTAAGTATTTTGTCAAAGGCAGATACATGCTTTTGCAAGCACATGCATAAATACCCATACATATTTCCTATTTGTCATTTCCGGCATGTGCAAATCTTTAATTTCTGTGCATTCACTATATTTTTTGTGTAAAGTAATTTACACTAATTAGCATACACCCGAAAGTTTTACATAAAAAATATATATGAATATAATTGAATGAAATGTAATATTTTTTAATACCCACTCAAAGGTCAGTTTTCTTCAAAATTCCTCCCACGATGGCATCTCTCTCTTTAGGCAGATAGCCCTTGCATGCGTTACTCTATTTAAATAAAAACTAATCTGACCTATGTGCCTAATACAAATATTTTAACATACATAATTTATATTTAACATTTAGCCATCAAGTTTCAAACTTTCAAATCTTCTAGAAAAAATTTTGGCAGCTCTTTTTTAGCAATTTCTTAAAATATATTTTTGTAGCAACAGATAGAATTTATAAAACAAATTCATAATCAAATCGCTGTTGTTAGTTACGAAAAAATAACCAAGATGTGATTTTGCGTAAATGTCAGTAAACTATACAATTGCTATTATCCATCACACTATGAATGTTTCTTTCCTGCAGAGTGTCCCTTTTTCGATTTCTATGGAACTGTCGGTGTCGAAATACCATCAGAATTTTGTCAAGCGAGCTTCTGAATGTAAACAAAAAACACCCCGTCTGGTGACCCAAGCTTCAAAGCAGTGCTTCACTTCTAGCGCGGAATGGCCCCTCCTTCCTTTCCTACCTCCATGGTAGGGATCGCCAGTGCTTCAGAGCAGGGAACGGGAGAAACCTGTTTAGAGCCACTCCATCTTACTTCCTACCTCCATGATCGGGATGGACCTTTAGCTGCCCTCGAAATCGATTGAGTGTTTTGATCGGTTTTGATATACGTACGCTAAATACAAGGTTGTTATTGCGATTTTGATTGAGGCCTCTTTATTTAATGGACGATCAATATTCGACCTGCTTCATTTTAGCCCTTTGTGAACAGCCTTTTGTCGACTTCTGATATTTTGTTAGGCCCTTCGAATTTACCGGAAACTGCTTAAAACGCTGAACACAAACATTCCACAAGTAATTATTCTAATCAATTACTGTTTTGTCAGCAATACTCAGCTGACCATATCGTGCCCATTAATCCATATTTTTTATGGAGGATCTAACTTTGAAAATAATCAGCTACTTATTATTTTATACTGAGTAGTCCCGGCAAAAACAAGCAAAGATGTCTCTTAAAGCAGAAATTCCAAATGGTAAACCCTTCATTAATCTTTAGTTGAAAAGTAAGTTCGATTTCCCTTTATTAAGTTCGCAGATATGCTTCCTAATTGTACTTAGCTAGGTGCAAATGTACCCAATACCATTTGTCTCCAAACCAACTTTTTCTATGGCTGATTCTTAAATTTATGGAAAAGTTTAAATTTTTATTTATAATAGGCATTGGAAAGTAATCGGTTGATAATTTCATCCAGAAATATATTCGTAACGCTCGTAATATGAAAACTGTTTTACACAATTTAATTAAACATGTTTTTAAATGAAAATTTAATCCTACAGGTACCTACAAAAAAGTTATTTATCATATAGAACCTTCCTATAGTGTTGGAATATTCGTTTCGTAAAATCGCCTGTCTCATTTTAAGAAATTTTGTAATAGGAGATGCGTTCAAAATCAGCATTTAAGGAAACAATCAAAAGCCGCATTTTTTAAATGACCTGGATTTTTGTATAAATGGAAGTCATTCGGCTCTCATTTGTACGCTGTTTCCCAGCTACTACAAAAAGATGGACTGAAACCTATGAATAAACCTGAAACGCGTGGAAACTGAGAAAACGGGGGGGGGATAAAATTATTTCAAGTGTGTAATGCATGGATCGGAAAAATTTCTTAAATATACTCTAATTTTCATATCAACATTTCAAATAATTTAAGAATACAGAAAATTGTGTATGTGTGCTCCATCAGAATCTCGTAATCTTCCGGAGTAATGGATGCTGTTTCGATATAGTTGTTTCGGCTTTTAAGCAAACTTTTTAGAAGATTATTTGAGAATGGCATTTCTTAACAATTGCAGTTTATTATAATTTCGAGTATATGAATTACAGCAGAATTTATGAGCAGCTCTTGTATGGTATATGTAAAGGTAGCTCTTGTATGTTTCAAATGTATTGGGGATTATTAAGGTTTTTATTTAAGTCCTTTAAATTTTAAGAAAGCTGTGCTGTGAATATGAAAGCTTTCCTAAAATTAAGCATTAATATTTGTAATTTTGAAATGCATATACATGAATATGAAATTTATTTTCTAGCCATCTAATATTATGGTGAATCTCGATGATACTGTGAAACTGACGGATTTTTATCTATACCCAGTCGCACCTTTGGTATGGGGATACAGGAAACCGGATATTGGGAACAGAGGTAAATGGACTTTCCTTTTTATTTGGTTGCTTCGTCTGAAGTGACATTAGATGTAGCTGTATTTATTACCTAACCTGCTAATAATCCAATGATTTAGAAAACGGGATTAATATGAACATTAAAAATGAACTACCTTGCTTAGTTAGTGACCGAAGATATAGCTGGAGGTAGCTAGAGATATAGCTATTAACTGGAGACATCTGCAAGTTTTACTATTATCCCGCGATTGACTTTGAAAGGTTTGCAAAACATATTTCCGTTATTGTCAATGTGTGTTTCTTGTGAAATATCTGTTTTGCGACTAGCTGTTTATTAACTAAATAGAATTTCTCCGAAAACAACAGAACTCTCCCGAAACTCTTAGTTCTAAATACTTTCCTGTAATTGGTAAAGCAAATTAGAAATGAGATGAAATTGTAAAAAGATTTTAAGAAATGTTGATTATACTTGCTGTTAACTTGTTAAACGTTTAATTTTTAAAACATCTGAGGAATGGTATATGTAAAGGTAGCTACAAATATGCTATGTTATGATTAAGAAGACATAATAAATTTAAAATTTGCTTCGCTCAAGTTTCTAACATTACATAGCTTGATGGACAAAATTTGCAGAACTGGGCAACTAAAAATTAATATCCGAAACAGAACAGTGGATCGCTAATATTACTTTTGAAGCTGCGTTTTAAGTGGTTAATTTTGCTCCTCATAGGCAATGAAAAGGGATTTTAATAAATTATTTTCTGAGATATACCACGTACTCTCCAAATAAAAGTATAATAATATTCAAATCATTTGTTAAAAGTAATGAATGTTTTATTTAATAAAATTACGAATAGGTGTCGTATAAATATTTCCATGTACTTAAAAATTCTCTTTACATTAAGTTCGAACGAACTGTTCCGATAAAATACTGTCCCTTATTTTCAGAAATTTTGTTATTTGAGATCAGTATTGAAGCATTTAAATTTGTAGCTATTCTTTTACAGCTCGCTGCATGAGCAACTTCCCAGCTAACTTCCACAGTTTCGAACAGGAATATACTGTTCCATTTTGCTTTTAAAATGTGTTCACAAATTATTAACGCGTGCCTATCTCAGTTCTAGTTAAATTCCTAGAGCTTATGGGCGACGCTGTCCGCCATAGATGAGTCTTGACATGTTTGTGCGACTACAAAATATAGCTTAGTGGGATTGTTTGATACGTATAGGCGCATATTTTTCCGCTCAAGAACTGTTGTCATCATCTGTGGACACCTCCGACAGGCGCAGTTTTTAGCAATGATTTTTCAACGAAGAACGTGCAAAGAACAATAATTTTCTTGGCGGAAAGAGGGTGTTAAAATTTCAGAAACTTGAATATCTGCAAGGAAAATTCTGTTCCTACAGTTGTTCCCACATTTAAAAAGATCTGCACTGGGTGATCTATTTCAAAGGTTTAACCATGCCATAATGAAAGGACACGAAAACTTTCTCTGAGGAAGAGTTTAAAAAATTAGTTTTTCGTTGGGATAACTGTTCAGTTAAATGGGGGATAGTATTAAACTGCATTGTAATGTTGATAACAATTGGCGAAACATAAAAAGGTACCAAAATATCTAGAAATTTTTATCATACACATTAATAGTACAGGAAGTATCAAATTTTGTCATACTATTTTCGCAGCATGTTTGAAATCTATAAAGTATTCGTATTTTAATTTATATAAATGGCATATATATTGACTGCTACATATTTACTAAATTTTGACATTAGTGAATTTATTCAATGTAACCTATCAAATCTTTAGCTCAATCTATCAAATTTACTTTTGCGATTTTATACTTTTAAGAACATAATATCCGTTTCTTTAGAAATAATTGTTTTGGTTTTGAAAATTTGAATCTGGAAAATAAAACTGAGCAATAATTGAAACAAGGGCAATGGTCTTCTGTATTTAATATAACTACACATATTGAAGTTTAAAAAACTGTTGCCACAGCTATTTTAAAATGCTAAATGTTTTGTTTATGTAAAAAAATAATTTTACAGTATTAACTGTCGTTTATTTAAAATCTCTAACAATAAGTAAATATATACAATTCAATTGAAGATCCATTTGTCATGTGTCTGAACATTGTGATTGGAATTCCTAGTTCGTTCGGAAGGTCGTTTTCACGATGACTGGGTGATCGTTGCACAGATTTCACACCTGTACGTTTATGCTGTCCGCGATTTTAATTGATGCTGTCAGATAGTCTGTTTCTTCTGTATTATTGTTTATTTCGGAAAAGTTGGTCTGTTGAATCTTGCTGCGTCAGGTCGCCCATCCATGCTTTTGCCAGAACGTTTGCTCACGTTTATCTGCACATAACTTGCAGTCAGTCTCGTCCAGACACTAGAAGCTAATGTCAACCTTTTGGAATACAAAAAAAAAAAAAAAAAAAAAAAAAAAAACTTGTAAAACAATTGCTTCAAAATTACAGGAGTGACGTGGCATTTGGACATAACATGCTTTAAATGGTTTCAGTATTCAATCTAGACTTCAATCCTCTCTGTTCACATTTTGGTTTTTCGGTCATAGCAGGCATAAGTCGAGCTTCATTGTTAGGCAACTAAGACTTTTCTGCGTCGCAAACTCCCTTAAGATTTTTGTGTAAACATTCTCATTTTTCGACTTATGCTAATTTGTTATAAGAACCTTCAATTCGCAGCAAAGCAAACATGAACTGATATTCTGTCGACAGTTACCTTCACTCGGGAAAACCGCCGACCGAATTTACACATGTGCAGCTTCACTTTCCTTGATTAACCCTGTTAAACAGATTTGAACGGACTTGGTGACTTTTAAATCCTAATCCACAAAGCCCTGTAATCGAAAAGTCATTGCTAGAATGAAACCGTAATCCTGCTTGAGATCGTTTGCAAGGCAATTTAAAATTTCTAGCAGAAGTGAACATAACTCTATAATAGGAAAAATTAAAGATATGTCAATCTTGGGAAAACCAAGTCCACAAAACTCTGACGTTTTTTACCATGACTTTCTGGCTTGTATACAAGATGAGTAGAATTTAATACTTTATTTTAAATTAAGATTTTCCTGCTTTGTTTAAGATGGTATGTTGCTGTTGTCTTGTCCATATTACAAGAAACAATGGTTGCCAAAGCCTGCTCCGAAGAGAGGTTGGACTTCTATTTTCCACCCCCCAATTTTGAGGAAGAGCACTCCGGGGCATGTAGTAAAGTTAAATATTTCTTTCAAATAATGTTGGTATGCAGAAGGTTTGTGCTCGAATACGTTCATGATTTGCAGTATCGCGCTTTTGTTTTCTTTAGGAACGTTTTAAAATTTTCTTTAAAATTTTTCATAAGGCGAAATAGCTCAGAGCAAAGAAGCGGTTAACACTGATCTGTACTAAGGAGAAATTAATGGAATAATATATGTACAATGTAATTTTAACTTCAAAACCAAAACGCAGAGAGAATACGCTTAAAGGCGCACGGATGGTGATAGCAGGCTGCTGGGTATTCGGTAATGAGTGATACAGGGCAACGATGTGAGACAGGAGATGAGAAATACCATCAGCACCATCTATACTCAGACGTGCCTTAGTTTCTAAAGTTTTATCCTTAAAAGATCTAATGTAGAGTTTTTTTTAATTCTAGCCTTTGAGAAAGATTTTAAGTAGTAACATACTTGTCTGCTAAGAATATCTGTAAGGTAGGAATAAAAATACAACTTCCCTCTGATCAGTTACGCAAAAAACAAATGGGTGTTGACATTCGAAAATTTCGAAATCATTTCATTGTGGCTGTAACAGAACTTCATTGTTTTAAATCATCACAATTTGAAACGCATACCTTCAAATAATATGCGAAATTTCATTTTGGCTGGTTGAATGGATAGACCGCTTGGTGTTTATATATCGGAAACTTTTTATGGCCACTTCGCATCCTATCACAACAGTTTTCATTCAGCCATAGCTTTCTTCAATTTTTGTATTGAACCTTTTTCCAGCAGCCAAAACGTTTTGGTTATTTAGCGATTTCAATACTAAGAATACTGCCGATGCAACACATGTTCATAACAAACACCAACACAAGGGTGATACAAACACCAACACAAGGGGGAACCGAATTAAACTCGGGGAAAGAGAAAGCTCCACTTGAATTTTGATGGAGGACATCTTCCGATTCTGCGTCTGAGGATCTTTTTCTCTCTCGAGGACTTGCATTTGCCAATATTCCAAGAGTCTCCCTGCCGCGCAGGCACTGGACACTAGCAAACAACCAAGTCTTTTCCAGGATTCGAATTTATTGTATAATAAATTTTTCGAATTTATTGTATAATAATTTATTGTATAATAAATTCGAATCCTGGAAACGCTTGAATCTTGAATGTGTCTTCGCTAATTCCTAATTTTTATAATTCTCTTAAGATGGCAAATTATAATTTTTTTTTTAAATTTTGTAGCAATTGGAAGTTCCCTCTCTAATTTTTGCTGGAGACCTCGTGAATTAATAGCAGCTGTGAGCGAAGCAGAAGCACGTGGAAGTATCACTAAAGCCTCGGACATCCAGGTAAGGTTATTTATAAAACTAATTTGGGCTTTCTTTGAATACATAGTATCTACATCGCAGCTGTTGTCCATAATATTTAGTTTCTTTAAACGTTTAATCGTTTGTGATGTTAATAAAATTGCGTGTTTCCCCACAGTGTTTTCTGTACAGGCAATAAACTTCTCACATCTCTCCTAAAGTTAAGGTAGTTTTTAAAGCAGAAGTCTTAGCAAGTTATAAATATGAAAGCTGGCACAAGTAGAAATAATGGAATGATTTATTGCATAGTATGAGTTTCACATTTTTTTGTGTGGAAAAACTGAGTAGTTAATGAAGTGGAGTAAATGCATTTTTGCCCAAACAATTTTAATACGAAATAATCTCTTCTGGCATGAATGGAGCTTTGCCATCTTTCATCCATGCTGTCAATTAAATTGTAATATTTTACCCTACAGATAAGGCCATATGTCGTAATCCTTGTTGCTGCTTATTTTAAAGAATTCATCTTGAATATATTATTTGTGAAAACATCGATCATCTATAAGTTTCTTAAGACGGGAATTACTTCTGAATGAGCTGTTGAAGCAAAGGAATTTTCGATGGTGGCAGCTGTTTGCTCAATTTGACCTGTAATCTTGTCGGACTCGGTCACTGTGGTCTGTGAAGAAATGAATGCGATGGAGAAAACTTGAGCAAAACTTAGATTTTAATCTTGACAAAAACGACAGTTTTTCCACCCTAATCTCCGTTACCGAGTCTACGTCAAAAAATCTGAACTTAAATAACAACTAAAAGCGAATCCTTTCAGTGCTCTCAAATTCACTAGTGGTTGAATGAATAAAGTTATAAATTACTCGTAGATAACCTTCATTCATTTACCGGGAATTGAACAGTTTGATACCGTAAATTTTTTAAGTTAAATTTTATACTGCTTTAATGACAATGTTTAATCTTTATGCTTTTGCTCAAGTTATGCGCATAATTCATATTTCATGCAATATAGAGATGGACCTGGGAACAGGGTCGGCTTCAAGCATAGACAACGTAAGTCTAGAGAGCAATTTTTGGAAGACTCCAGTGACGCCCCTATCACAAGCAATAATTAAAAATATTTTTGCTTTCTGCATGGTACTAACTATAATAATAGCTTAGTGTCGAAAATGCTTTAGCTGGGCTTATGTGGGACTATATCTTGTAATATTAAGATATCCCCGTTCATCTTCTCTTATCATCCGCCTTTCACGAATGTGAGTTATATACTGATAATCTGTCCTAGGAAAATACACCTTGAACGAATATCGCCATAATCCTATAGCACTAGTAAGCTTTTCTGCAATCATATAACTTAAATCTAGCTAATGAATATTTAATTGTCTAAATTTTCATTTGACCAATATTTTGTAGCTTCTGGGAATGGTGATGTATTACATCTTCAGTAACTGCCGGCATCCATTTGGATATTTAGAGGACCAGTGCCAGGAGAATATCAAAAATGGTCTCTTGTCTTTGGGACCGGATCCAGCAGACGTTGAATCCAGGGATCTCATTCAGTTAATGTTAGCAGCGAAGACAGAAGAAAGACCAAATATTCATGATGTTTATAAGTAAGTTTTCTAGCATTTATTTTTCGATTCACACTCTTCTTGTATCTATTACTTATTTTCAAAATCTAGTATAAAACTGAAACTGATACAAACACCAATTGAATATCAGCTTTTAGTTTCTAGTAGAAATTTAACATTGCAGATGATATGGAAGCTAATGCGTAATGTTTCTCATACCACTGAGTCGAAATTCGCCTTTCCAATTGATACAGTGGCTAGCGACACTGGTTGCTATACTGAAGGGCCCGGCTTCGAATTCCGGAGAAAGCATAGATGTTTGTAAGCATTTTTGCGGCATGAGGTCACTTAAAAGCTGGTGAGCCGAAAGCCTTCTCGAATGCTGTGGTGGTAAGGAAACGAGATGAGAAACTCTCAGACCAGGGGTATTCATCAAAACTGAGGTGGAGCTGCACAGTTAGAGGATGGCACTATACCTGTACGATCCATAATGAAATTCTAGTATTCCGACTTACTTGTACCTGGATTCAGATTCGAATTTCTGGTAAGGCTGGACATTACATGATTAAAGAGTTTCTGCTGCATGCTTACAATTGACCGAGCTAAAACTTCTGGGGAAATGTTGATGGTCTGAAAGAGGTACGAAACTTTGAGACTATTCTATCTGGGACGTTCTTTCAGTACTAGCTTGGAGCTAAAAAAGGAGTCCTTTGTTCGATTTTTAAAATTAAACAATCGAACACTATTCTAGAAAAAATTCTGTTCGTGTGAGCATGCAGTAAAACTTTCCAGAGAGAAAATAGAATCTTTATTCTGTTAAATAAAGCTCAAAAGCGACCGAGCGATACGACTCCTTACACTGGTAGTTTAACCTGGGTTTGATTTCAATTTCCCTTAGAAACATTTCCACGAAGGCATCTCTTACACAGATAGCCTTTCAGAGCTTTTTCATAATCAAATGATCTGTTTAAACAAGGAAGCAATTTCTATAAATCGCACTGAAGTAACATATGATTTGGTAGGAAATGGTGCGAAATTGGTTGACAACTTAGCTTTTCCGGAATGTGTATCGTTTGGCGCATTTCTAATGAAAAGCGCAGTCAGATTGTCTTAATATTGCTTAGAAAATACAGCACACTTTCTCATTCATTCACTTCATGTGAATGGATATTTAATTTTAATCTTTACTATAATCGAAATGCAGTTTACTTTGTACAATGTAGTATGAAAGGGGATAACCAAATTTGTCGTGTCTCAAAATTCTCTTGATCTTGGATTTTATAATAAAAATGACTTAAAAATATTCTGAATGATTCACTTTGCATTTACAGATTTTTCCGTTTCCTAGCCAAGAGTAATTCAGTAGTTTTTCTCAGCTAATGTATTTGTTGAGATACAGTATTATGGAGTGCTTAGGAGATGAAAAAAGGTATTTTCGTGACTTAGATCAAGAGAATAATCTTACTGAAGTAAACCACCCAGAGTTTGTCAACTGCTTGTATGTTAAGTTTACAGAAATCACTCGTTTCTGTAAACAAGTTAGATTTCGCCATGTTCTTACTATTAAAAGCATATATGCTTTGAACACTTTGTGACTTGCAAGCAATAACTTATTTTTTCAACATTGCTTATTTGAAAACTAAGCGTGTGATTTTGCCTTTTTCTAAATGTGAACTTTAGTGATTATTTTACAGGCTATTTAAATGCAGAAATTCATTGGAAACTCTTTTGCGTATTTTTAACACTTGAAAAGAAAAACCCATGTTTAAGCAATTAAGGATTTAAGCAATAAAGGATTATTCTGAACTGATGCTCTTATTTCAAATAATCTTTGAAACATTAAATTTACTATAGTCCTGCGAATATTTTTAAAACATTCACTTGCATAAATTAAAAATTGCATGAATTGTGTATTATGAACTGCATCAAACAGCCTGTAATATTGAAATCTATGCGCGTCTGTTTGTTCCTGGCATTATCTTCTCCGGAACGGCGGGAAGCTGAGTTTCGAGAGGAGTATCCCCGGATTCCACAAACTTGTGGGAAGCCATTTCGACCATTCTCATCTTCGTACGATTTAATTAGCCGAGATATTAATTAAAAAATCTGAAAACGCTAATTTTTCCCTCATTTTTTCCAAGTGGCAGTAGCCTTGCACATTGGAGATAAAAATCTGCTTTATTTTAAGTGATGCCACTGCTCACTTTCAAATCGTAGTCTGTTAATAAAAATTTAAGTTTTACGAAATATGAAATAAAATAACAAAGCCAAACATTTAATAGATTATTCCGGATTTCAAGATGTCGCGTGGGAAGTCATTTCGTGCATTCTCATCTTCGTGCGACTTTAATCAGACGATATTAAAAATTCTGATGAATACTAATTTTTGTACTCATTTTCTCGCGTGACAACAGTCTCCCGCGTTGGAGATAAAAATGCTCTATTTCGAAAAGTGTTGCTACTGGTCGCTTTCAAATCGTAGAGTTTGTTAATCAAAAATTTAAGTTTTACAAAGTTTGAAATAAAACAAAACTCTGAAATTTTTTAGATTTAAAATTACGTCCAAAGGGGAGTATTTTTAACGTTTTGTGCGTTTCCTTTATTTATCAAATTCGTTCTTTGCTCTTAAACCATAAAATTCGGTGTCAACCTTATACTCAGATGGCAGCATTTCCCGGAAAGTTGGAAACTGGCTCAAATCACACCAATTCTGAAACCCAAAAAGTCTGCAAGCTCACCAGAGCCATGCCGCCCGATAAGTCTGCTATCCTCACTTAGCAAAATTATGGAGGCTGTACTACTAACCAGGATTAATCAACATCTGGAACAGAACAGCATCATCATTCCTCACCAATTCGGATTCCGAAGCAGACATTCTATGGTCAACCAGCTATACGGTGTTGTGGAACTTATCAGTGAAAGGCTACAGAAAAAGAAAGTAACAGGAGGACTGTTCTTAGACATAGCAAAAGCTTTCGGCCGTGTATGGCTGGACGCACTCATCTACAAACTACACAACCCTGGGATTCTCGGGTTACATTACAAACATAGTTAAATCATACCTAACCGGTAGATACTTTCTCGTTCACGTCTCAAATACACTCAACACGTAGGGCAAGCCTTGCTGGGGTCCCCCAGGGAAGTCTGCTTGGTCCTACCTTATTCAATATCTACGCGAAAGACATTCCCACCACACAGCAATGTATGCTCGCAATTTATGCTGATGACACTGCGATCCTCTTACAATGTGCATTTGTTAGCCCAGCAATAGGTTTACATAAACATACTCGAGACTTGGCTGACAAAGTGGAAAATCAATGTTGGCAAGACTCAAGCAATTCTGTTCATCAAGAAGATTAACCAAAACCTGCAACTCTTTGAAGAAGTCATCCCATGCGCCAAGCAAGTCCTTTATCTTGGTGTGATTCTCAGTAAAACTCTTATCTTGGTACCTACACATAACATCGATCCTTAATAAGTTTCGAGTTATTAAAGTCGCACTTCACCCCTTAATTTCTCGAAACAGTGTACTTTCAATAGACAACAAGTTGCTTATTTATAAAACCCTATTGCGTCGCATACTATGCTATGCCTGCCCGGTCTGTGCATATTCATGCGAATCTTGTAGAAAAAAATTGCAACAGGCTCAAAATTGTGTCCTAAGACAGATTACCAATTCGCTCTGGTACGTTCGAAATCAAAAGTTACGTGAAGAATTGGGTATGGTACTTATTTATTTTTACTGCCGGCTCGCCAATTTTATTAATATCAACCCAGTTATAAGGATTTACGATTACGACTTTAATGACCAAGTAATAGTAAACGGCCTATGGCCATACTTAGTACCCATATTGTATAACTTATTTAATCTAATATGCACCTCTTAATATTCTGTTATAGATTTAAGGTTTAATTATTACTATTGCACCAAGAAACTCTCACTACTTTGCCTATTATTTATACGAATATTTTTTCTGCATCAGGCTATAGCCAGCTCATTCCTCCTTTCTCGGCCTTCCCAGATAGCACTTCAGGTCTATTGAAACTTGACGCACACTTTAGTCTTTTTAGAAGTTTATCTTTTAATTTATCTCTTATCTTATTTCTATTCTTATAATTTAAAAAAAAAAGTTAAAAACATGATTTAATTATATATATATAAATTCTAAATATACTAGTTGCTCATGGCAGTATTCGAAATAACATATCTGTTCTACACGGGGAAGAGTCCTTGACCCAGGCACCCTGGTGCTACAGTTTCCCCAGTGCGTCAGTGTCGCAAAATAATTCTAAAATGAGCATATCTTTAGAATTTCCGATACACAGTTCCGCGCGCTGGAGATAGTTTTTTTCCTCCGTAGAGTGTCGCTTTAAATAGTTGAGTTTGTTAATCAAAAATTCGTTAGTTTTACAAAATATGAAATCCGTAATAAAACAAATTTCAAATTTGGGCATTTCATATGCCCACATTCGCAGTAGGATTACATCATTCAAAATTGGATAGCTTTAGGTACTGTTTTATCCCAATACAAGAAACATACATACATACATTTATGCAGATTCTTCATTATTTAATTTCTTCAAATATAATACAGGAAGATAGTATTTGGTGGCAACTGTTTGAAGAGTGATGCAGCCTTTTAAAATTTTCAACGCAAAATCGTAAAAGAAAATAATAGTTCTTCAGGGACAAAGCCCCTTTGGACTTAAAATAGCATTGCCAAAATTAAAAATTATATAAGGTCATATTCTGACGTTGAAAAAGCTAGCGATTGCATATGACGTCATTGTATGTCAAACATGGACCTTATAAGAAATAGACTAACCCAAATGGGTTTTCTCTCTCGTCTGAGGCGTTCCCGGCTGGTCACCTTGATCACATCCGGAGGAGTAGGGACGACTTGCAGAAATTTAACAGTGGTTGCCTATTGCAGCGTGTATAATTGTCAAGAAAAAGCTGGTTGTAGCGCCTCATTTCACAAATTAGAATTTCTCCATATTTTATTTTTGAAATTGAGATTGATTTTTAAAAATTTAGCATA